GGTCTTAAGCGATTTAAAAGAAATGCATGGGTAACTTTGAGTGCTTAGACTTCGAAGCGTTTGCAGCGTGCAATGGATCGTGCCCTTAGATATGTCGACATTCTGCAAAAAAATCTGTCTTTTTATAAAATTGCAAAGAAAAGTCTATACTTTATGGTGACATACTGATATATCTATACTGATGGTTATCATGAAATTTACAAAGAAAAAAATTTATTCCATTCCGTAGGATATGTCAAATTGTGAAATGTTTTTGTCAATTACCATTGACATCAGATTATGCGGCAATATTACTGAAATGTTTATAGCATCAGATGATTTTTTTCATATGCCGGCAAAATTCATTCTTTGTAATGATCTTAATATCTCAATATTACATGAGGACGCATATAAATGACCTTATAATGACGAAATATATCTATCATTTCCGATGTATTTTTTTCAAAAATGTAATACGGTAATCAAATTTGGACTAAGGATTTGTGCTTAGCGGGCAAAAATACATCGGAAATGACTATTCACATTCGTACAACAAAAAAGTTAAATTTTGTCGTTCGATGTCATTTATCGGCACAACGTGCATTTCTGCTAAGGAGAAAAGAGGAAAGAGTGATACTTGGATACTAAAGCGAGCGAGACACCTATAGAGACAGCGCGGTGTCCCTATTGCTGTCTCGCTCATGTTATCTGCATTCAAGCGTTGAATGAGTGAGAGCTATTGAGGACACCACTAACAACTGTAACGTCTGCTGATGTTTTCTCTCTCGATCGGACGACGTGCGATAAGGATGCAACATCGAAATATCTCCCACCACTTCCCCTACGTGCCTTCTTCGCTTCTTTCGCGTTGTACGTAAGATGTACACGCACCGGCGTTAATGCCGTCCGTATATCCGTGTGACTCCCACACGATGACGCGTCACTTACACACTGCTGTCTGTAGGCGGAGGCAGGAGCAGCATAATGAGGCGGAGGGGGCTAGCGGTATATAGCGTCGGACGCTTGAAGAGGGAATAGTGGTGGGAGTCACGGCGATCTTCCATCCTCTATCGCAGACGTAAAAACGAGAGAGATAGCATTATAAGACGTGGACAGAAATGCCGTCCTAAAATACATGTGACGTATACTAAGGAAACGCTCGACTCACACTGTCTCGTCTATACGTGAGCAATACGCGTTGTTCTGACGACTGTTTCGCTCGCTCGAACATCCATGCATTCTTTCTTGTTAACAAGGAAATCACTGTAATGTAAAAGGAGATCTTGGGGAAGGGTTTTCAGGAGGCTTGGATAAGTGCTTCTTAATAGCTGCTCTTAAGAAAATAAATAAATATTAGATTATTAGATTTATTTCAATATAGAATACTGCATCAATATAGAATACTGCAACAATACAGCGCTTGTATAGGTTGTCAAAGTAGAATATTTTTAATTTTAGTGTTGCATAAACACACGAGATATAATTATTTCATATTTTATGTGTTCAAATATCGTTCCATCGTTATAAAATTTGGTAGCCCTAAAGAGAGCCGATTTTTGCGCCTGTTTCAAATAATTATTGTTCCTTATTATTATGGATACAGAAATGCGACCCGTTT